CTGTTGAAGTGGCACAGAGTGACTCGAAGCCAGTGTAGGGTGTCCCAGGAAAATTTCTACTGGGAACATTTCTGGTGCTGCCACTGCTGCATCCTGTAGCCCTGGTCTCCCTGGAAAAGGGAAGGGACTTTCTCTGTGTAAGGGACCAAGGCAAAGGGGTGTATGAATGAATGTCATGTTTTTGGTGATATACAGCCAAGGAAAAAGCCCTACCAGCCCATGGCATTTCCAGCATTTAATAAAAAGGTTCACACCAGGAAAGAGAACAAAGCATACTCAGTTCTTTGTCCATTTCCTGAAATCCAAGGCATTTAATAAGGACTTGGGAGCATTTCAAACCTATGGGAAGGTTACTGGTAAAAGAGAGTAAAGAGGGTTTGGCTGCCAGGGATTTTTCCTATGCTGCTTTTCCATTTGCATTTTACAATTTCCAGGCACATTGAAAATTTGGAAAGTGGTATAAATTATTGGGAGGAGGGGTGAGAAAACGAAGTTAATGTGTGACTCCTGAGATTTCCTGCACAATGTTGGTGTGGTGTGTGAGGAGAAGGGATGGAGCTGGAGCTGGAGCATTCCTGGCAGCGAGGGCTGTGCTCTGAGCCGGTACCGCTGCGCGGAGCTGTTGGAAGCACGGCTGGCAGAGCTGCTGGCAGGGCTGCAAAAGCAGATTAAATCCCTTAGGAATAGAGTAACAGCCCATCTGCATGGGCCGTGCATGAGGCTATGGTGGAGGGTCCCAGCCACAGCAAGTGCAGACTCTCCCTTTGCACTCCTCTGTCCCTTCTCTTTATGTTGTTCCTGGAATAAAAACAGAGGATTTCTAAAGGAAAATCCCGCCTGCAGTGTGTGAGCATGACTGTCTGTGTGTTGAGCACTTATACTGCATATATGAAGATAAAATGCATTTATTGCCAGAGGAATCAGATTTGGGCTTGTTGCAGTAACAACTTAAGGGACCCAAAACTCCTTTATCTCTAAGTTAAAGCTGTTGATATCTCCTGTGTGTGTCCAGTTAAAGCATCAGTCTTTGATGTCTGAGACAAATATTACAGGGTATGTCAACCAGTGCCTCTATTTTCTTTTAAGGAGTTTTGTCAGAGGACTGAATTTGTCCATGCATCTCACAGAAGATGGCTAGACACCTCATTTCCCAGTTGTCCCATCCCAAAGACTTTGGGGTAATTCTCTTACCAATAGAACCACACACATCCCGGTGTGTTCTGATTTTTGAGTCATCTTTTTTTTTTTTTTTTAAGTTGCCCAGGGACACACATGCTGGGGTGTGTAATCACTGCCTTGCTCTGGGTATGTCTGTCCCACACACCAACATGCTCACACTGCAGAGTCTCAGCGAGTGCCTCTGCTATGAAAATCAGAGGTAATAAATATCCCATGTATCAACAGTTTTGGTTTAAAATACTCTCCTGAAATGAGTTCAGCCAAAGGCAGTAACTATCTTTTATTGCTCAGCCAAACTAAAAATTTATTTTGCAACAAATTGAGGGAAGGAGGGGATGCACTTCCATGCCTGTAAGTAATGATACAGTCAATATTGTCATCAGCAAAACTGATCACTGCCCCTTTTTTTTGTTATGCTTTTCTCCCTTATTTCCTTGCTGTTCAAGCACAGCATGATTTTTAAAAGCCCTGCACGACCCAGGATTTTACCTTCCTAACCCACCTGGGAACTGATTTTAAAGGCTTGAATCAATCCAGCATTACCTGACCCAGGAACCTGCTCTAACAGGTATTTGGGGCAGGGTGCTCGACTGGGAGAAAGGTTGATGCTGTCTCTTAGCGCCAACCTCTTGCAGAGCTTTCTCTCCGCTGCTTTCCTTGCCCTTCAGAAAAATCCCACCCAGTGAAATCAGACAGGAAAAGGATTAACGTGAAAAATTCCTAGTGACTCCCAATTGCACCTGGAAAAAGCAAAGATGAAAAACACTTGGGTCAACATAACAGGGAGGGAGGCATCCTGTGGGCCTCGCATCTCAGGCACTGTGGGACCCTCAGCTCAAAGTCCAGGCAGTTTTAATAGATGAGGCCTTCGGGTGACATTTTCCTGCAAGATTTTAAGTAAATGCCTTGCTGTAACATTTGAGATCAGGCATCTCTTGGTTTCCATGATTCTTTTCCTTTTTAAGCCACAGGCACACACATACAAAATATATTAAAACGAGCCCAGATTAGCTAAAAGGTCGGCGAGTTCTGAAACAAACAGCAGGGATTTGTGGTGGAGGCTTTGGGGCACAAGAAGAGAGTGGTTTGATTCCAGCTCTACTTTGGCTGGAAGGGGAATATTGATTAAAACCTTGCAGGGAGCAGAAGTCAAGGTGAGAAGAGATACTTTTGTCATTCTTTTTGTTAACCCACAGCTGGAAAGAGACTTCACAGATTGCCCAGGCCAAGCACTAGCAGTGGGGAGGGAAAAGAGAGGGAGGGAAAAGAGGGGAAAAGAGAGGCAGGAAGGGGATGGATGCCTAGGGTGTCTTTCTTTGGCAGGCTAAGCCTCTGCCTCCTTGGAGACCAGAGCTGGCAGGGGCTCAGGTGTGGGACAGCCAGAGGTGTCCAGCTCTGTAAAAGTGATGTGAGGACAGAAGGTAGAACCTGCCTGGACAAAACCTTTCTGAAAAGGTGGAGAGTTGATGCCTGCATGGGGAATGCAAGGCTGAATCCCAGGAGATGAGGTCTTTGCTCAGCACCCTGTCTGTGAGGAACAGAACAGAGCTGTCTGCCTGTGAGAGTGTGAATGCTTCACACGTGGCTGAGACAGATTTGCCAAGGAATTAATGGAGTTTATTAAATTTATTAATTAGTTCATGGAAATATGCTGCTGAGGCCTTTCCTTTTTTGGGGTAATCCCTCTCAATTTTTGGGGTAGTACCCTAGTGGTGCACTTTTAGGAAAAGAGAGATTTGGCTGGTACAAACTGCACCAGCCTGTTGGAAGTGTTGATTGTAAATCAACAAGCCCGTTATTTCCGGGTACCTGCTATTTCAGTGTGTAATTAGAATTATTTTTAAACTATGTCTCCTGATATTCCCTGCCAGTACTTGGCATGGAGGGAAAGTGGAGGAGGCAGCACATGGAGCACTCAGGAACAGCTGCTGGGGCAGAACAGAGAGGCAATACTCTCTCCTTGTTAGCAGCCGTGCCTGCACATCGCCTGTGTGCAGCAAACGAGGCAACAAAATCCAAACCAGAGCATTCTCCAGACAGTTATTGGTATAAACGTGCTCATCCACACTGCAAAATTAGACCAGCAGATGGGTATCTTGTTTGTGGGGATAGCAATTGCTTTTCACAAGGCCAAAATGAAGTTACAGCACCAGAAGGGACAATATGTCTTCGTTACAGACAAAGATCCCAAAGGAACTCACTCACTCACTGTGTCTGTGAGAAGGGTGCTTAGTCCAGAAGTGTGGGTTTGTGCTTGGATCATGGGGCTATAAGCTGCCCCCCCAAACTGAGGGTTGAGGGATAGGGGCAGTGGGCAGCCAGGAGAAGGTTTGTATCCCAGCTGCAGCTGCCCTTCTCACATCAGTACACCCCACCGACTTATTTCGTGTTCCACTTTCCTTCTTCAGGATAAATACTCTTGATTCATCCCAAGAACTTGTCCAAGGGCCAGGAACAATGGGTGAGAGGAGCTGGGAAAACCAACTCTGACAAACTCCTCTCAACTAATAGACATTTCATAACAGAAGAGCTCAAATGAAAGGAACATTGGTGTTAAGAGATTATTAGTCATTCTCTAAACTAGTGTGGGATGAGTGCTGGAAAATATTTCTCTCCAAATTTGTATGAATAATATGAATAAATAAGTCTGATTTTGGTTATTCTTTCATGGTGATCCTACTGGATGAACATAAGAGGAGCAAAGTTGGGGGTAATATTGGCTCTTGGCCAATAGGTGTGGAAAGTTTGGTATTTGTATACAAGAGATGATTTGATTGACTGAAGGATTAGACATCTTCTTGCATCAGCTAGGTAAGGAGTCTGGGTGAACACAGAGTCCAGTGGCTGTTGGAAACTCTGATGAATGGGACACATTACAGCTGTTTTTGGATAAACCTCTGATGCCCTGAAAGATATTTTCCTTGATACTCTGCATTGTTAAAATTTTATCATGAAGAGAACTGAGTGGACCAACAGCTCACTGGGGTTCTACAGTGTGGCTGAAAGGGTAACCCAAACACAGACTCTTCAGCCTTGGGGGGCCCTTCCCTGTGGGGGATCCCCCTGTCACCTTCAGCATCACCGTGGCACCCCCACAGCCTCTGCCCCTGCAACACATCAGCTCAGACAGGACCCCACATCCCTAAATCTGAGGATATGGGATAAAGTGAAGTCACTGATAGGGACCAAAGCAAAGCTGTCGCTGCAGTGTCGTGGTGCTGAGGGTGCCCCAGGCAGGTCAGGGCATAGGTAGGTATTTTTAGGTGGGCTTTCTCTTCTTTTAAATGCATTTCTCTAAGCAGCAGCAGCAGGTGAGTGGGTATTTGGGGACCAGTAGAACATACAGATGTACAAGTGTGTTGGAGCACCTCTGGTGCTTCTCCTCTCCCTGTGGGAGAGGAACAGGGAAGTTGGACCCACCACCAGCCCCTTACAAGCCCTCAGCTTTCAGCCGTTCCTCTGTGACTGACTTCGTGAGGGATGGACTAGAGGGGGGGTCCCAGTGGTGAGGGGCTCTGCAGCCCAGCCCGGAACCTGCTCCCTCCCTTCTAATCTCCCTCCCTTCCTCCCTGGGCCACAGTTTGGGGACGCAGCTGGGGTTGCAAAGCCCCCGGGTCCGGGGGAGGCAGCGGCGGGGCTGGCGGGGGGTGCGCGGTGACCGGGGGGGCGGCGGCTGCCGGCGCTGCTGTGCGGGCGAGTGTGCGGGGTGCGTGTGTGTGCGGGTTTGTTTGTGTGTTTGTGTTTGTGTGTGTGTGTTTGTGTGTGTGTGCGGGGCGGCTCCCGCGCTGCCAGGGCACATCTGGGCGCCGGGGGAGCCGCGGGGAGGAGGCAGCGGGGGCTGCGGGCGGCTCGCAGGGCGGGGGGCGCGTCTCGCACACGCACACGCGCGGCAGCCCCGGGACCGGCGGCTCCTCCCGCCGCATTAAAACGAGCCAAGTTCCCCGCCGGGGGCAGCGGCGGGTTCAGGCGGTGCGGCGGGTCCGGGCGGTGCTGCCCGGCCCCGGGGATGCACCCGAACGCCACGGCCCCGGCCGTGCCCCTGCAGCCGCACCCCAGCGGTTATGCCAACGCCTCCAACCGCTCCGACCTGCTCCCCAAAGTGCCCGACGAGGAGGACCTGGACGTCAACACCGACATCTACTCCAAAGTGATGGTGACCGTCATCTACTTGGCTCTTTTCTTGGTGGGCACCGTGGGCAACTCCATCACGGCGTACACGCTGGTGCGCAAGAAGTCGCTGCAGAACCTGCAGAGCACCGTGCACTACCACCTGGCCAGCCTCGCCTTCTCCGACCTCCTCATCTTCCTGCTCTGCATGCCCATCGAGCTCTACAACTTCATCTGGGTCCATCACCCCTGGGCTTTCGGGGGGGCCGTTTGCAAGGGCTACTACTTCCTCCGGGACGCCTGCACCTATGCCACGGCGCTCAACATCGCCAGCCTCAGCGTGGAGCGCTACATGGCCATCTGCCACCCCTTCAAAGCCAAGAGCATCATGTCCCGCAGCCGCACCAAGAAGTTCATCAGCTGCATCTGGATCGCCTCCTTCCTCCTCGCCATCCCCATGATCTTCACCATGGGGCAGATCTACGCCAAGGACCAGGATCCCGACTCGCTCATCTGCACCGCCATCGTGACCACCTCCTCGCTGAAGACGGTCATCCAGGTGAGGGGCCGGGAGGGTCCTGGCGGCCGGGGCCGAGCAGCCGCCTCCTCCTTCCCGGGTTGGCCAAACTTCACGGAGACGGGCGGGGCAGGAGGGGGAGGCTGGTGCGAGGGACTGGCTCAGGAATCGGGATGGTCCGGGCAGCCCTGACGGGACGGACTGGCCCAGGGTACGGGCAGGAGGGATTTGAGGGAGCTTGGGCTCCTCCTGCTGCGCCCCACCCCGCACCCCCTCCTGCCCCACCGCGCCGGGTTCAGACCTTGAGCCGGGGTAAATCCTGCTCCGCGATTAATCCTTCCCAGGGCCGGGGCAACTCTCCCGTGGCCCCCTGAGCCCAGGGCATCCGGCTCCGCTCTGCCGTGCCGCCCCGGGGACGTTCACCCAAAGGTGGCAGTTCATCGCCAGAAAACCCCAGATCTCCACCCCTTGTATCCTCTGCATCTCCTTCCCTTCTTCTGGAAAGCGACCAGAAATAACAGGGGAATAAAACCATCTCTCCCCCTCTCCAAGTTCCTTGTGTTGATCCAGAGCCCGTTTCCTCAGTGTAGTGACAGCTCCTAATTTCAGAAAGTTTTGGACACAGGGTGTAGCACAGGCATCTGAAAAGGAACTGCATCGTCAAAGCCAGAGGCTGCTATTTTTGCTGGTTTGGGGAAATCCATAGCTGGTTTAACTAGCAGCCCCTCCTGACTTCGGCAAGGCTTTGCTGATCTCCACACACTGCTAAATCCAACACGTCCATGCGTGGAATGGATTTCAGCATCAACACTTGCTGTGCTCCAGTGCTCTGACGGGTTGAGGCATTTGTTTACTGAAGCGTTGGGCTTGAAAAATGTAAGAGACACGGAAGGAGGGACAGAGAGAGCAAGACACCAATCTCCATAGTCCCTTTGCTGCCGGGCTCGCATGTGATAGCTGCTCAATCTTTTATTTGGAACATGAATTTCAGGTGGGGTTAATCAGCGGGCAGCTGGAATTTAAAGCTGCATGTGTACTGGAGCGGTTGAGATGTTCCCAGACTCAGAGGGAACTTAAAGGGAAAGGAATCATAACGTTTTCTCCCACTAAAAGCAGGCGAGGGTGCATGCCTTTAGATTTAAGCCCAGAGCCAGTAAATGTTTAGACGTGTCTCTCCCAGTTTCCCTCCGTACTATTCCAGGAAACCAAAATCCATCCCCCGCAGAAGCCCTGGATTCCTTCTGCATTTTGTCGTGGTCCCTAACTTTCATCTGAGGTGATGGGGCTGCATTTCTCCTGTAGATGCTTTGAAGGTTTTCTCAGCAGCAGCCCAGTGTACTTAACCCAAATTCTCTACTCTCTGAGGAGACCAGAGCCATCTGATTTGAGAACAATGGGACTGAAACGCATTATTTCCACTCATCTTCCTTTTAGGATTAAACTGATGCTCATTGTTACCATGGTAGGGCTAAAAACAGAGGATTATTTCCTATCCATATCTTTGGAGATTACAGTTTAAACAATTCTCAATGTATTTTACAGTCTTGCAATTCAGGCTATACCTTATCCCATTAGCCAAGTAAGGAATGGGCAGACATGAATGCACAGTTTGTGAAGTTCACCTGTGGGCATTTCCTCATATATTTATTTGTTTGTTTGTTTGTTTGTTTATAATTTTTATTTAATTAGTGAATTAATTTAAAAGGAAAGAGGCAGCTGTTGGGGGGGTGAGGAGGAGCAAAACCCCAAACCATGCAAATCTGTACTTCCTTGGGGGATCTGTCTGCAAAAGGAGATTTGCTGAGATAGGAAGGTTGTTTAATGGTTCCATTCCATTCCCCCAAGCAGAGGGAAGCAGCTCACAATGTGATGCAGGGCCCTGGACCGGGGAAGGCTCCAGAGTGAATAAGCAAAGCAGCTGCAAGTCAGGTTGGAAGTGCGTTAATGGAAACCATCGCACAGCGTGTGAGCCGGCATTGTCACGTCGTAAGCTGTGCAGAGGTTTAAAAAAAGACAAATGATGGAAGATCTGTGACTGAAAGGGCAGTAGTGATGTGGAGAGTGACGTGCAGATGTCTTGCTGGTTGGCAGTCTGGAGCCCTGGTCTTTCGTGGTGGGTTCATGCTGCTTTACAGCCGTCCCTGCATCTCTTTGCGTTCATTTTCCGTCTTTAAATTAAGCAGAGCAGTGATGCACTTGCTTGAGCTGGCAAATCACTTGTAATAAATCACTCAACATTTTTCACTCCTCTTCCTGTTTGGCAAACAGTCTAAAGTAAATTGGGATTTTTTTTTTTTTTTTTTTTTTGGGGGGGGAGCCATTAGTTCTCCAAGTGGTTTTATTTGTTGACTGATTGAAAGTCAGTCCCAGAACAGGGCAACTGTAACCATTTATATCCTCAGAAGCCACCGTGAGCTTTGGTTCTGCTGGGATCATTGCAGGAGAATGCTTCTCCCTGGACTGGAATGAGCTTCCAAGAATGAATATTTCACAGAATCACAGAATATTCTGAGTTGGAAGGGCCTATTTGTTAATAGCAAATTAACATTTCTGATTTTCAAAAAGTTCCTCTGTATTTGCTTTGAGTATTTAAGTTTTAATGGGCATTCCTGAGTAAAACTAGACTGAGTGAACAACTATGATTCTTGTAATAAGAAAAAAAAAAGTAATTATTCGAACAACACTCGTTATATTTTATTCTTGCACATATTAACTTGTGCCACTTAAACTCCACAACAACTGTAAGAAGTAATTACTGGTATTCCTCCACCAATTACAAATTGTTCAGGGCAGCACATACTGCTAATCAGGAAAAGCAGTAAGTGAGATGATCTGCAGGGTGACACTGTGTGTCACCGTGCTCTGTACTGCGAGCACATCTCTCCTCATGCCATCGAGACTCTCTGAGTGTCCCTTGACACGGAATTCTTTATGACAGTACTATTTCCCAGTTTGGTTTGTCACTGTCCCTGCTGCTGCTTAAATCAGCCTGTGAATCTGATTTATTATATATTCTTCATTGCCAAGCTTGCCTGTTGCTTCTGCCAGTCAGGGACGTCTGGTTTGGATATTGGCATCCACACGAGATCTGATAACAGGAGTAAGTCCATTATAGCCACATTATTCAGGTCTAGTCAATGCTTTAGCTGGCAGACGCCCTCTGAAACACACTGCAGACAATTTTAGGTTCTTTTTCCACATAAATTAAACACCTCTTAAAGCCATACAAGTAAATTCATGCTTTCATGGTTGCACTTGAAACCTCCTCCATTTCAGCTGGAGAGGTTTTAAAAACTCCTCGTTGTGGCAGCAACAGATAAGAGAGTTCTGAGGCAGGATGAGATGCTTCCCCTGTTCACTTGTGGGTCAGTATCTGTGGGTTTGGTTCTGTGAGGGGAGCCTGGGTGTGGGCAGCTCTCTGGCACGCCAGAATTCGCAGGGGAGAGAGGGAGGTGTTTTCCCACTGTCGTGGCACAGCCTGCACTCGAGTGGCCCTGCTGAAAAATGTCCCCTAAGTTACAGCAAGTGCCTGGGTAGAGTGTCTGACACATGCTAATGTTTTATTTGCACGGACAGCTGGTGTGAACCCATTTATTAAAACACATGGCAGCCGGCCCTGCGCCTCCAGAAACTGCCACAGCTCCAGCAGCTCCACGTTGCTCATTTGCCAGGGCAGCACACAGGGGGACTGCTCTGGACCTCCTCAGCCCTTTGGAAAGGCTGCTGTTCCACTGAGGTTCTGCTCTGCATCATCCCACCCCGCGTGGCTGCAGCTCATCCATCCCTCCAGTTCCCTTGTTTATTATGTTTTATGAAGCCTGCTCATAGTTTGGATGATTTGTGTAATAAATAACTGTGCACATGAAACTCTGCTTGCCCAAAGGGGCTCCTCTGCTTTATTCCTGCCCACGTTTCTTCTTGTAATGCCTTTGAAGGATGATGCAAAAGAGCCTCAGGTCTGAAGGGAAAGGGAAGGAAGGACCAGGTGCTGGAGCTGGGAGACACAAGGTGCAGCCTGACCTCTTGGCATCCATTACCTTGCTCTCTCCACACTTTTCCAAGGTCATGTATTCAATTCCCATTAGTCTGAGAGGCTTACAAAGTTATTAATTCCACACATGATGCTGCAGACACTCCCTTACACCTTCCTCTGGTGAGGAGCACCTTGGTGGGGTGACGTGATGTGCTCACTGCTCTGGAGCTGTGGATGGCAGGGCTCTGCCCACGGTCAGATCCGTGGTGCCAGGTAAATAAATATGACAAGCATCTCTCCACAGTACACAAAAATAGCAACCCATAAAACCAAATGGATGAATTCTCTCCAGGTTTGCTGGCAAATCCTATCCAGGATTAGTCAGTGGCTTCAGTTCAGGAATCCTGTGTTTATACTGGTATTGACTAGAGGAATTGAAGTTGATTTCTTCTCCTGAAGTCACAGCCAAATTCCTACTATGGCTTTTAATAACAGAGCTCTTCTAAATCACTCACTATGCCAGAGAAATCCACCCTTGGGTGCCACTCAGCCCTCTGACAGCACCACAAGCCAGCACTTTTGCGGCAGGACTGTGTCCCATCAGGTCATGGTGCTGCCACACCCTCAGGTAGACAAGAAAATGACAATATTGGTGTATAAATGTGTCTGGATCCATCCCCACACTGATGGAGAGAGACCCCTGCCCCAGCATCAATGCCTGTCTGTGGTGGTGGGAGCATCCCTAAAAAGCTGCCTTTTTTTCCGTGGACTATTCAGGGAACTCAGGGCTTTAACTCAGCATATGCACGGCAGCCCAGCCTGCCTAATCCCAGCCCGTTTACACTCTGGTCTGTCTCGCAGCTAGATCTAATTTAAATAAGCTCTTGTGTTCATTGCTTTACATAACCACTTGGCCTGCTGTGTTTTGCCAGTTCTTACATAATTTCTTCTCTTTTTTTCCCCCAATTGGTTTTAATTCACTTGATTTCCTTTTTCCCCTCCCCCTTCCCGAGATGTCAGCTGGAGGGATAATAAAAGAACAGGGAAATGTGGCTGATCAATTTAGCTC